TGTTCCTTCATTTTCTTCATCACATGATATGGATATTAATGTTACACTTTTTAAATTATTTTGTAAAAAGATTAAATCAGCCAACCCATTTGAAATATCTCTCAATTCAATGGTTAATAATTGTATATTATAACATATTTGAGATATTTGATAAAAAAATTCTGAATAAATATCCGAACGACATTTTAATTCTATAAGATCCAATAGACAAGTTTTTGCTCCGGGTAAACAAGTAAATATAATATTTTGAGAACATCCCAAATAATATTCCAAGGATTTTAATGATAAAATTTGATTCATAAACATTTTTAATATTTCTTGTGATAATAAATATTTATTAAAATTTAAGCTTCGGGATAAAGTAGTTGGTTGTCCTTTAAGAATGTATTGAACCATTTCATCGATTTCATTAATTGAAATAACTTTGCAAAATGATGCGTAATTATACAATGGAGGTTTTTGAGTTGGAGTGAAAATAGCAATTCCATTCTTATGTAAATGATCTTTTGATTCCCTTGGAAGACAAGCAATTAAAGTACTAATAATTGATAATGATACACGTGGTTTATTATTACTTTGAAAATTCCAAACATTTCTCCATAAAATTCTAACCGCAATATCACAACATTGACGATTAACTAATAAACATGAATGTAAAGTAGTTTTATTTTCTTCTAAATAATCGAATATATCATTAAGACAATCAGCAGGAAGTTGTTGAGACATTTTTGTTTATTTTCAATATAATTAATTTTCAAAAAAAAAGGAGAAAAAAATAATAAAAAAAAAATGCTTTTCAAAGTTGAAATTCACAAGATTTATATATAAAAGAAGGAAGCCTGTGTTACCGAACTAAACTATATTTTGATGATCATAGTAACTGATAAAGGTCGAAATTAAGAAAAAAGTATGGAATATAAAAAAAATTTTTAACAGGAATTTGAAATTACACGCGATGACTTATAGAATAGCTTCTCAAATGTGCCCTTTTGGAGAAATTTAGAAACGAAGAAAGATAATTATTTGCATCTCTAACTACATTCAGTAAGGAATATATGGGATTTTAATGACCGGATATTTTTATGAAACACCCAATATTGAAATTTATTAGCATCAATCTACCTAATGAGCGAACTATAACTCAGTTATTGGATGGGATATCGGTCTAGACCGATATTTCTATTCCCCATCCATACATACTGTAAAAACAGACAGTAAATAAAAACGATATAATAAAATAGAATAAAGATAAAGATAAAAGTAACGAAATTACATAACCTTTAAGATTCAATATGGAAAATATTTTCATCCTTTTTAATTTTATAATAAATATTCTCTATATAAACAAATAGTAAAAACATAAAATATATAAAATTTTTCATAGTTTTAAATATCTCATAATCTTCCACAGAGAAATAATCTTTAGTTTTTCTAATTGGAGGATTTCATTTGACTTAGTAGTGGATCGTGGCGAGAATTTATCACCGGATACACGAAAAATTAGAATTTGTATGTTTTATCAATAATTTCAATCCATTTCGAGATGAATCAATACCTTTTGAACTATAGTTTGTTATTTGGCTGATATATTATATCCATAAATTCTTTGAAGCTAAATTATAAAAATTACTTGAAGGGTCTGAACTCTGAAGGGAGTTCAAGATTTTGAGCAATACTCGTCTAAGCACAAATTATCACGTTAAATAAGAGAAATCAAAGTTCTTCTGAAATTGAAATAAAATCATTTGATTTAAAAAATTTTCCTGTAATTTCAAGAAAGAATTACCTTCAAATTTGTTTTTATATCATTTTAAAATTAATTCTCAAGACAAAGTTCATTGGCAGCTACCAAAATTTTAATGATATATTTAAAATGATATTTAATATGCGTTAAAATTCCATCATTTTTGTATATAAGATGAATAATAATAATAGTTGTTCAGGAACTGAAATCGGTGACTCCGTGAAATAACTTATTTATATCACGGTTCCGATTCCCGACCATAAAACTATTTAATATACCTTTTTAAACTTAAATAATGATTGACTTATTATTCATGGTAAGAAAAGAAATCCTTATATAGTGACTCATATATGCTATTTTTCTCGACAATACTTTCCCGAATATTTGAGTTTTTGGAATGCCGGAAATGCATTCATTATATATCATGAATTATTATAAGGAACCGTGGGATAATATATAAGCACGAAAAATTTTTACGTATGGGTCATCGTCAATTTCCATAGAATTCATTATTATTTCTAATATGTCAGGTAAATTTTAAGATAATTTTGATAACAATTTATTATCTTTCATTCTGAAATACTATAAATTTATATTTTCAAAAAAAAATGAAAGAAATGCAAAATCCGTCTAATTTGTGAAAACATACTTATCGTCACCTAAAATCTGCTAATGAATTCTCATCTCTTTGTTATAACCAAATAATAGATATGACTAATAACCCACCGAACTTAACAGCTAATATTCAAAATTTATGTTACACCACCCACCAGTGTTGTAATTCGGACGGGACATGCCTATAGACAGGACAGGACGGATACGTCTGGAACAGTCCAAGAATTTAGCCACGTCATTAGGACATTAAAAAAGTCGTGATGTTTAATTTGGTATTTCCATAATAATTGATCAAATTTAATAAATTATATCTTATTAGAATCGTCTTGATGAGATGTATTGAATGGTAGTTATTTCATCACTCTAACATTAATATCGATGGAGTTATGATTGTTTAAATTTTTTAATTATTTTATTATTTTGTAATCTTGAACAATTTCTTGGATAAGTTATTGGACAGAACAATTCTGCCATGTACAACACTGTCACCCACTATTCGAGATATTGGGCAAGCAGGACTAACAGTGCACTTACTTCGAAATGAGAGTGGTAGGTCTCATAATACACGATGACAATTCTTCGTCAGAATTGGATAAAAATTAAAAATTTTTTATATTTTGCAGATTTTGCTTATGAAAAGATAATAAGATAGTATTAGAACTTTTAAAGAAAACGTGCGAAATAATTATCTACGATTTGATGACGTTCAAAAATGTGTAGGATGGCTATCACAATGCATCAAAAATATTTTCATGGATATGATAAAGTTATAGTCGATGCACAGTCATGGTTCCACAAATGAAGTTTTGTCAAGTGTTATCTTTGAACATTTCAAGATTCCATGGACGTATTGTAATGCGGATAATTCTTTTTAAAACCATCTCTTAGCTGGAATATTTGAATCTTTTTTTTTTTAATGTAATGTTTATTAATATGCTAAAATAAGGCAAAATTGAACGTATGCTGTGTCATGTGATGCTCATATCGCGTGATCTTACTTGCGGCCATCACCTGATCTTGTAGATGCTGCAAAGATTCCATAGGGGAGAAGATTGCAGCCTCACTCTGAATAGAGTGATCTCACTCCAAAGGATTAATATTTCCTAATATTGACCATTCCCGTTTTCTTACAACTTATTGTAGATGTTCCTTTCAACCTAAGAATACAAATTGTCCTACATTTTTTATATAACAAACACGCGCGTAAACATAATATTCATGTAAGAGCACCATCTCATCAATATAAAAACATGTTCAAGCTATGATAATTATAAAAGTTTTTTTTTCCGGTATTAGTATTTGAAACTTTATTATAATGAAAAACGATAAGCTTTAAGATTACATAGAGTTTTTGAAAATTCTTACGAAAGATCGATTAGAGAACGTTAGAATCTGTTAAGTATTTCAATGTTGTCACTTTCGGAATCATCCCCAAATTATTTTTCAGATCATCTAATCCAAGTCCCCAAGCAAAACCAAATTAAAGAAGAAATATAAGAATGAAGCTTTATAACCATATTTGCAACTCTGAGTCTTATAGTTTATAATCGATCTCCAACGATGATTATACGCAAAATTATCATACGAAGTAGTCTAAGAATAACCATGAATAAGAAGACATAACTATGAAGGAACTGCTTCATCATCACTATAACCACTAGAGGGTTCATTATTAATAATGTGAATGATGGAATAGAATCATCCGGCATTCATTAAAATCGATGCCATCTAATTTAAATTACCAAATAACCGGAGATACCAATATCTTAACTACCCAAGTATTGCCAACATACCCATGCGACTTTGCCAGCATATTTAAAAACCTAACCTTATATGCTTAAACTTTTGTTTCAAAATACTCAGCTTCAAAGATGTTCTAATTTGATATGATGTACCTCTTAAAGTGTTATTGCTTTGCGGGAAAATAATGTATATGAAAATTTCCAAGAAAAATAGAGTGTACCGGCACCATACTCCGTGTGTTATCATGGGACATTACTCGTTCGAGCGCTTATATCTCCTTTTTTACAATCCAACTGCATCTTTACCATCAAATGCTAAATCAACACGAGGCTTGATTCAGTACAAATTCCTCATATCCTTTACTGCAAAATAATGTTGGAATATAATAATATTTAATATATCCTTTATTATCGCACAATTTTTGATGCTATTAAAGAATTATTAAGTAATGCAGATATATTTAAATATTGTGTATTGACTATATAATAGAAAATGGTGGGTTAGAACCGGAAATACATATCTTTTTAAAAATCTTTTCTTCACTGCATTCTGGTACGTCCACGGCTTGTTAATTCTTGTTCTTGGTCGTAAAATATTTTCTCACGAAAAGGTAAATAACACAAAAAATTCTCAAAACTCCCCTAATTTTCCACATGCGCGCGACAATTCTCCCTAATCATAAAGAGGTGATACTCGCGAATGCACTATATTGGGTCAGTAAACCTTTGCAAGAGCTCTGCGCCTGTGCCGACTATTTCCTCTCCGACTCATGTGGATAAAAAGAAACTAACAATAAATAATAAATAATAACTAGTAGTTCTGATTATCTGTGTTCCGATCAGCTGTCACGATATTTCTTATAAATTTTGATGTTTTGGCATCTTTTACTCTTAAAAAAATGGCAAATAATTTACCAGACTTATGTCTTCAAAATATATTCAAACATTTGAATTACGACAAAGCTTTATATCCTTGTACATTAGTTAATAAACAATGGAGTTATTCTTCTATTCCAGTATTATGGTCAAATCCATTTATTTATGTATTTGAAGGACGAAAACCTTTAAATTCTTTAAAACCTTTAATAGATACTTATTTATCTTTTTTACCTCAAAATCAACAAGAAGAACTTGAAATTAAACCAAAATTTAATCAAAACTCAATAATGTTTAATTATCCCGTTTATATTCGGCATATATTTTTTTATTTTATTTATGAGGGTGTAAAATATTGGTGTAATCACTGTAATGTATCAAATATTATTATTAAAGAAAGAAAAAATCAAATTTGTAAAGCATTAATTGAATCTTTTTTTATTAAATCTTCAAAGATTGATACATTTGAAATTTTTGAATCTGATGATGATGATTTTAAAATTTCAGATATTTTTGGTTCCATTTCAAATATTCAAAAAATTCAAAAAATTCGTACATTAATTATTGCAAAATGTTCTGATATTTCAATTTTGTTAAATTTAACTCTAAATGTAAAATCTTTAAAACTTTTTACTCTTTATAATTTTGATTTAGTTAATAGTTTAAGACAATTTGTTCAATCACAAAAAAATTTAACTGATATTACATTCTCCTTTCCACCTAAACTATTTCCAACTTATTGGGAAATATTTCATTCTTCAAAAACTGCTACATCAACGGTAACTTTTATTGAATTTATTCATATTCAATTTCCTAAAAATATTTCTTTGATCTATCATTTAGCTCTTTTTACGAATTTACAATATCTTAAATTTCGTGCTTGTGATTTTGGTTATATTCCAAATATTAAAGAAGATCAACTTATACAAGAAATCAATTCAAATTATCCTTTGGCTTTTAAAAAATTAAACACTATTATTATTATTGAAGATTCTTATCTTAATTTAGAAATATTAAAGATTCTATTACAATTTTCGGGTGAAGAATTATTATCTTTAGAATTATTTGAGGTCAAAATTAATAAATTTAATTACATTATAAAATGGTTGGAAGTTTTTTGTCCAAATTTAAGAAGGTTGGTGATTGTGGATAAAACAAATGATAAATTAGAAATAGTGGGAATTCATGATTTTTTCCGAAAATTTAATAATTTATCATATGTAATTATTAATGGAGAAAAACATTTTGTTACATGATACTGTAAATATCACGTTATTAATAAACGTTTGTATTTCGTTGTCAAATGGCTTAACTACTTTAATTTCGAATTAGTACTACTGTATTAGATAGAAACCTCCTCAGCCTAACGCCAATGCCAAAGCATCAAACCACCAAAACCCTCCTATTCTAGCAATTGCTTGTATTGAATTACCAATAAAATCTTTATGCCTATTAAATTCATTATCAATCCTACTTAATCCGCTAAGAAAATCATCATAGTCTACTTGAGCTGGCACAATATATTCGGATACATTTTCTCCTCCATCCAATTGATCATCATCATCATCAATCGATAGTGAGTCGGATTCTGAATCCGAACTATCATCCTTAAACCTTCTTTGTCTATCGTACCGAGAATGATCATAAAATGAAACATTCTCACCACGATATCTTGTATAAAGTGTACTAAATTGTATTGTTAGTTCCAGGACATCCAATATAGAATTGTGAATCGAAATCGCCTATAAATTAAGTGATTTGTTAGCAACTTTATAATCAAAAAATATATATATATATATATGTTTTGTACAAATAAAATGGTTATCTACATTTTTATTTAACAAACACCTATCATGAACAGTGAAAATATAGTCTCCATGTAAGGAAATCATTTCATCAATATCAAAAACCTGTTCAAGCTTCTTATAAAAGATTTCTGTTTCCGATAGTAGTATCTTAAAAATTTTATTATTTCAATGATAAGTTAATTTAGTATGATGAAAAAAAAAAAACGATAAAACTTTAATAAGAAGATCACTTACAGTCCTCATAGCATAATCCCATATTGCATTTAGGAACCATATTAACTTCATCCTTACGCCATAAAAAAGTATCATGGCTGTAGAATTATCTTGATTTCGAGAAAAAGATAACCTTTCTAAAAGATATTTTGATCGCTTGACTTGCAACAAAAATATAAATATTCGTTTGTACATTTCTAATGTATTACCATGAATAATATTATTAAGTGGCCAAGGTAGCTAAATTAAAATAGAAAGTTTAGCTAACATAAGAAAAGACGAACAAAGTTTATAATTTGAACACTTACTCGATATTCAAAAACAATTTTTTCGAATACTCTAACTGTTTTTGTATTTGGCTTTTTACCTGCTTCGTCATCTACCCAGACGCTGACCGAATTCTTATCTAACCATTTAAAGTCCTCGATAGTGTTTAAAACTACTTCGTTCAAGACATAGGAATCATACCACATCTGTTTCTTATCTATCTAATAAAAAAGAAGATAAATTTATTACTTGAATTTTAGCATAATTTGCAACACGAAAAAAATACGTAAATGATTGAACGAACTCTATCAAATAGCACATCACTTAATCGATGCATTGTTTCTCCTTGTTGCATAAAATAAATTCCTGCAAGTGCTCTTAAATGTCTCCAAAAATGACACTGTTTAACTAAAGCATCATAAACTTGTTGTCCTATTCGCATATACCTTGGATGAAGATATTCCTCAAACTTTTCCCTGAATCGCTCACTGAGAGGATAAATTTTTATCATTGGATCTATATTTACATGTTGATTCCCCTCATCGATTTGTTCATGTTGTTCAGTTTGCACTTGAGATTTATTCCAAAGTGGAAAAAGAGCTGAAATTGTCTTTGGATACGTTTCAATAATGACATTTAAATCGGTAAGATTATCTATCTCAGGTAGATTAACGTATTCATTCTCATCCTTCATAATCTCATTATCATCTTTATGTTCTTGTTCAGAATTCTCGACCACATGCTCAGTTTCAATAATGTTGTCGTTCTTATCACTACTTTTATGTTCAACATATTTCTCCATGTGAACCATCTCGTCATGTATAAAATCTTCTTCAAGGGGATTGTTTAACAAATCAAGCTCTTCTGATTTCCTTAAGTTATTCAAATCAAATAACAATAAGGATTCAATATCAAATTCAAATTCCTCTGGATTATATTGAAAAGTCATTTTGTGCAATTTTTCTTCCTAAAACGAGTATTTTAAATAATTAAATGTGAGCCGATAACATGAAAATTCAAGAAATTCGAATTTGTAAGTACCTCTTTAAGTTTTAAAGACATTAGCAAATTTCTTGCTTTACCGGAAAACAATATGCGCCTTGCAAAAGGTTCCAAGAAAACTGGTAACAAATCTTCTCGAATCTTATACATATACTGCCAATACTGTGACGAATTTTTATTAATGTTCGGTGTTCTGAGATATATAAAGAAAGGTTAATTTATAATGACAGATTGTGAAATAAATAAGCTCATAAATTTTTAATTACAAACCTGACCACGAAAAACTCATCTGCAGGATCATGACATGTTCCCGTACACATCCAATCATTCATCATACGAACAAATGGCGCAAATGAATTATCGAGATGTTTTCCAAGCATTATGAAAATTGAATTATTTCCAACAGTTTGATGTGTAGAAGTCTCTTCATATAATCCCGAAAGAATATCATGAGCAATTTTTGACGGTGTTGCTGATGTATTCTTGGATTGCTTAAAAGTATTTTCTTGATAATAAAGTTCCGGTATATCTAAAATATGAGAATGATTAATAGGGGTCAACTATTAAATTATTTATCCAATAATATGTAAGTACCGTTTAAAATAGATTTCTCAACAAGATTATATATAACAGTAAACTCGTAAAGTCGGCTCATAAGTTTGCTTCTTAGATGCAAAAGAGAAATATATGTAACCTGATCTAAACAATTCGAATAAAAATTATCATAAAGATTAATTTAAATAACAAAATATCTTTCGTAATAAATATATATATATATATAACAACCTTGAGATTTTGCGCGATCAACTTGATACTCTAGTTCAAGATCCGCTAACAATTTGTCAAACTTCCAGACCATTTTCAAAATGGAAGCAGCAAATGCTTGCGCTGTTTGTCCATATAAAGCACAAGATTCTCTACATATTCTACAGAGAAAAAATTATTATTATTTTTTTTTTCAAATAATTTAGTAATATAGCAACAACATGGTTCTTACTTTGAAGCAATTGTTCTTAGTTTGACTAATTTACTTCCATAATCACAAAAAAACTCCAAGATAGCTCTGAATCCACTTTCAGTTAAATGCATCAACATTATGTTACTTTTAACCTATTTTGTTCATTTGTGTAAGTAACGATTATAAGTCGAATTGATAAGATTATATTATTTTAATACCTGAAATTTTCCATTCTCTAACTGAAGAAACAAATAACTTGGCCTACCCGATAACATGAACAATACTTCACGTATTGCATCGAGCTCAGTTATATACTTTGCCCGAGTTGGATCATAAAATAGATAACGTTCATCTTGACTATGATGTTTAGCGAGTACGGGAGCTTCAATTATGAAAGAAGATTTAAATTTCAAATAATTAAGACAAGTGGCTTACTGCAATTACATAAGATTACCTTACCTAAGGTACAAGCATCGTTAAAACTAAACTCGGTCTCTATTAAAAATGAACATTTTTTAATATGTTTTATAATCTAATCATAAAACAAATTATAAAAGAAACCATTCATACCAAATATTTCGGGATTACTATGAAAATCATTTCTCCAATATTGTTTCGATTCTATTTCTTGAATAATATCGTAGTTTATATCAAACTCTAACACTTCATCTTTTTCATTTTGGTGTTCAGAATTTGATACATTCTTTTGTATTGACTATAATCAATAATAAATTAATGCGTTGAATATTCAACATTATTTATTTGCATTTACATTATATTATTAATAATTACAGATCTTCGAGAGTTTTGTAAGTTAACAGCTCGATCACCCAATCTCTCTCTAATCCATGCTTGTACATCAAAATTTCCCCAATCATCATCGTCATCATCATCATCAACATAATTAGATTTTATTTCCCAATGTGGACCTTTTAGTGGTTCTTCGCGAAATATATCTTCAACATTTAATTGAGTTTTTAACTTTGGTTTCGAAAGAGAAGGATTAAATGGGATTCGAAGAGGTGATTCTGACAAGTTTAATATAAGATTCAAAATATCATAACGCGTGTGAATCTATAAAAATTAAAAAGATGTCAATCAAAAGAATATAATGACACGTCAAGTTTTATGAATGAATAACTTACGGGAATCGAACCTTTATGAACTGGGCGATTTATGTACGTAGTAAACATTTTTTCTAAATAATCGGCTTTATCATCTTGTGCGTGTAATCGAAATTTTTCTATCAAACTTAATAACAAAAGATCAATAAAATAGTAATCAATAAATATAATTAATTTAATTATATTAAATTTTGCATACCCTTCGTAACTTCGTGATATATCTTTGTGACCTGCACTTCCAAATTTACCGTATTTGAAGGTTGAATGAACATTATTTACAAATTTTTTATAATTTTCTGATCCCGGCTAAACATGTAAAATGCAAACATTATTTTTTTTTATCTATAATAAAGTAAATAAATAAATTATTAACTAAAAAGTATACGAACCACTGTACTTGTTAAATGTTGTACAAGTTTTTCAATTAATGAATTAACAATACTCGACATGACGAGAAAGAAGGTATGATGATCAAATTTGTTACTTTATTTTTAAACCCTACATTTATCGTTCCAAATATGGATAAATTGATTGTCTTAAACAATAACAGATAAACCTATCTTTAGGGCAATAAAGTTGGCACACTATTTTTATTGGACGATAAATAGTGGATAAGACCAATCCAAAAAGTTTTTCTAGAAAAGATATCTAATACTAATTAACGAAAAATTATAAAATCTACGACTTGATATATCTAATACTTTATTAACGTCTTCAATAATTTAAAATCTCTGATGAGTTGATCCATATGAAAACGTTTATTTCTACGCGTTTCTTGAATTCTACCTACACGTGATCTATCCATAAAGAACGTTAAAAAAAAATATTTTTAAATACTCGACGATGTATGCGTTCCAGTAACGGATATGCATATTTCCAACCGGCAAAAAAAGTTGGTAGAAAATTGTTTTTGATTTTTTCGCGTACTTGCCTTTACAATTCAAATAGATACTTTATAGAATCTTTTGAATGAAAAGATTTCTCTGCGCCTATAACGTACTTCCCTTCACATATCGATTTTTTTTACCAAAGAATGTGTCTCTAAATTTGAATAGAACGTAAATCATTTCTCTACACCAAAACATAATTCCCAAATATTTATATAAAACTCTACAAAGAATAACTTATTTTTATAACTTTTATTATTATAAAACTATATATAAAAGAATTCCAACTATACACTACATACAATTTATTTTTTGAAAAAAAAAATAAACAAAAAAAAAAAAGAATACAAATTTCTAACCTTATATATATACTCTAATATACAAAAAAAAAAAAAAGTACAATCCCAAATGAAATATTACTAATAATAATAAGATTCCTTAGAATTATCAAGACTAAATATATTCAATTTTCTTAAAGTATATAATTCATCTATTTTTTGATGCCATTTTACCATTTCAGTACCAACAAAATCATGATCAAGAGTAGCTTGTTTTGCATAAAATGATACAGATAATTCAGTAATATTGGGGCATAAAGATAAAATCTTATTATTATTACTAGTAATAACTTCAAAATCTGTGAAATTAAAGCCAATTTGGTTTAAGGATTTACCATATTTTTCAATTATTTTTGTAGTAATATCAGAAGGATAATATAAATAAGATAAATGTAAATTCCTTAAGAGAGGAAAATTACATTTCATAATAGAAATTGATAAACCTCCACAAAAACATAAACAAAGTGTATGTAATTTATTAAATTGATTTATGATGTTAATGGAAGGTTCAGTAAGTTGAGCGTGAATAATTTTTAAAGATTTTAAGGATTTTTTATGAGAATGTAAAGAAGAAAAGATAGGATCTGAACCATTTGATATATTTGCGATCGTAAATTCATTAATATAATTTTGAGATTTAATTATCGTTGAAATTAATTGAATGAGTTCAGGGGTGTAATTCAAGGGACTTAATCTAAAATCTAAACAACGAAGATCCTTGCAATTTGATGAAATAATATCTAAAAGTTGAATAATGTTTTGTGATAAAGGTGTAAATAAAACTTTAAGTATTCTTAATTGTGATAATAATATATTAAAATTTGTAAATGCAACCAATTCAGGAGTATCAAAATCATTATTTAAAATGATACTTCTTAAATTTGTTGACATTCTAGTAAATAATTGAAATAATATCGAAATAACGATTTGTGCCATAATTGGTTTATGCTCTTGTTTTGTTTCCCTATCACACCATTTAAGTACCGTCGAAGAAACAACTCTTTCTAAATCTTTAAATGAGATTTCATTTAAAAAGAATGGATATTCGAAAAGAGTTCTTCTTGGAATAAGATTCATTACGTTTAAATATGGTTTTAAATTAAAGTCCAGTAAAAAATTTTCTTCTTTGTTCAGACATAATAAGTATGTACGAATTAACCTATGACTGTTTCGTTTCGGAAGTTGTTTAAATGGATTATTCCATAAAAGTGGGACAACATTCTGACACCAATATCTATTCACTAAAAGCGATGAATGCAAAGAACTAGTTTCTTGTACATATTTAAGTATTTGTTGCATTATTTCAGGCGGTAATGTTGGCAGTGTGACCTTTTCAGGTCTATTTAAAAGACTAACAATTATATTTAGAAAATATCGCATTGTTTTTAATTAATATAGATTAAAAAAAGGAATATTTTTGGAAGAAAATAAAAGATAAAATTTATAAACGACGAGAACGAAAAATACCGAAAAAAAAAATTTATATATTTTTTTATATAAACAATGGAAAACTTGTTCATATTCTGGTAAATAAATGCGGCTGATTGTAATAATTTGAATTAAACAATTACATTTTGACGAATATTCAAAACTGCGCCTGCATAGTAGCACGAAACTAAAAGTGGGGCATTCGTTAATAGTATATAAAACAATGGATTAAATAAAAAATCCGATCGCACGGTAATTTTGATTACAAATTTAATAAACGAGCGAAAGCAGAACAACGATTGGGCTGGTTTACAGAAAAAACGATCGTCTACCTGCGAATTGTAAAGAAAACCATTCGTTTGTTGTCTGTCTGTTCTTACATTTTATTTTATCGGAATTATAATAATTTTATGTAACACGTGACGCCCGTATTATTGTTGTAATTATTGCATACATCATGCATCATTGATGTAACGTTGAACTCGAAATAGAAGGAAGTATAATGAACCCTATTGTTCTATCGATTTAAGTTTGGGTTTTTACGGAAATTTTCAATGATTGGTCATTTTTACTGCGCCATATCACCGTCAAAATAATATATTAACATGCAAACATGCAACGTATTTTTACTAAACCCTAGAATTGAGTAAATGTGCTATAATCCGTATCAAAATATCATCCAAGAAGGAAAATTCATGCCCGAAAAAATTGTTCTATAACGACAAAGGAATAAAAGAACGCAATGTACATTATTACAAACGAAGAAAGTCTTTGACTAACCAATCGTGAAATGTATTGAAAATTAAGTAATAAAAATATAAATAAGCACTTTAAATGGTAACTATGTGAATCATAATTTGAAATTTAATGAACAGATGTTATTAATTTATAAAATGCTTTTAAGTTCCTTGAAATTCTGACATTTCTTCCCTTTTCACGAAGATTCAATAAATGATATTTTCTTATTATTTTTTTTCAAAACATATCGCATAGATGCTGATGTTCATTCAAATCATTATCGGTATTACTGCAAATTTTATACGTTTACCGAGCGTTTAGGTTTGCCTAGCAAGGTAACGCTTTTGGAGTTGAACCCTACATATAGGATTTTACCCGAAAATTTGATACCATTTTTTCTTCCATATTAGCTGTCGTCATTAGTTAAGTCTTTGGCAAAATTCGGTACTGTGACTATCCAATTTTCTTGACAACTGTCTCCTGCGCTAGATTATCTTGCTAGAAGCAGTCCTTCCTTGTTGGTTTTTGTCCAATAGTATCGGAAAATAGTATAAATGTTAGTAATTATCACAAATTTATCCTGAGACAATAGAGTGTAAATTGAAATTTATTAAATTAAGGTAGCAAAATCCGAATTCCTAAAGACAATAAAATATATAATTAAAATTATATAATTCATATACCCAGATAATTTTATTATTTACCAAGTAGATTAAGCATATATTTAAATATGTGAAATGTATATATGGTCAGCGTTTACGTTGTTACATTAGGTAATAATATAAATGTATATTATAGTCATCATTAAAATAATTCTACTGAAACTTTAATCCAAAATTTAATTACAAATATTTATTTGTTCAAGATATTTCTTATTCTTTGTGTGCATCGTACTGTTTATACATGTATTGTTTGGCATCTGTTTATACGTCGGTCGTATCGCATACAGTATATTTTTCAATATTCCTGCATCGAGTTATGTAGGCTATTCCATCATTATTTATTTTTCTTTTTTTTTATCCATCCATAGGTGAAATCTTAACATCTATCGATTACTACAATTATGTATTGCTATCCTAATAGTTTGATCGATCATATATAAACGAGAGGGATTTGATCAGCAGAATTCTTTTATATTTCGGAGAATTCCAATGTGTTTGTCAACATTGAGTAAGAAGGGCCTGAAGGCAATAACTACGAAACCTTTTTATTTTCCTGAAGATTCTAGATGGTGTTAAACCCGGATTACTCCATTAAACAATCTTTTTTTTCCAGAAATTCATAAACAAACGTTGCCCCAAAGGTATTTTCTCGTGTGCAAAACGGTACGCTGATCCACAAGCCGGCCGAGAAAAATGTTGCAAAAAAATGCATTGAAAATCAAATTCTCTTAGATAAAAACATTTACCCATCGTCTACTCCCTCTTTTAAAGAAAGAAGTTTAATTTGAGTGTGATAGTAAATCTCTTCAAACCATCTTTTTATCAGTAATACGTGATACAAAATTATCATGTAATCCTTCTAGTCAGCACGTGCACTAAGCATAATTTATATATTTCTTATCTTTCTGCAAGAAATGTTAAGTATTAAAACAAATTTAGGACTTTTTAAGAAATCAAACGATTATCCTGATTTTAGGTTAGCCGAATGAGTGAACGACATTTAGTAACACCATATTATAAAGTTTCCAATAATTACAATCGATTCTTTTGAATGAAACTTTCTTACCCTTCACGTAACCATATTAAGATAAATTTGGTGAAAAAAGGTAAATTGGCTTACATTTTGATATGTTGTGCAAAATTTAGATGAGATTTAACATTGAAATTTTATTGTTTCCCGGATTGGAAATTGATATGAGCACATGACGCCATAAAGCATACACAGTTATATTTTATGAGTTCACTTAATTCTAAATTTTCTTTCTCATAACAACGATTTAGCAAAATGAGTAAAATATGCTCGGAAACAGACTCGGAGGTAGAACTCAATAAGGAAGAGCAAGGTGATACTGAGATTGATTTGAAAAATCCAGACCACGCTTGTCATGCCGTCGACTCCTTAGATTCAACTATAGGAAGTAGCTATTCCCTTTGTGGACTTACCCAAAAATCTACAATCACCTCCGAAACATTACTATCTGAATTGAGTGTTCACAAAGTCAAAAGAATTGAACGTTATGCCTATGAAGCCGGTGATGATCGTTACAAGAGCAAGAGCAAAAGCAAAAGCAAAGAAAATCCTAGTACTGACTCTGTTGATCCCGCAAGCAAAAAAGAGGCTGATGCAATAGCTTTACGAGAAGAGGCTATATCAGAAACGCTTACCACTATCAAAAAGTCTCTAAAAGTTGACTTATGTTTTGTGTTGGACTGCACTGGTTCCATGTCAAGCTATATCGATGCTGCAAAGAACTGTATTCAACAAGTGGTGGAACACATGGAGCAAATAAACCCTACCATCAAACTCTGGGTCGGATTCTGCGGCTACCGTGATCATTGTGATGGCTCTGACCGCATACAAATATTAGACTTCACTGACTCATACTCAATATTCAAAAGCTATCTCTCAGACAAGGTAAAAGCCACAGGAGGTGGTGATGCACCAGAAGACGTCTTAGGCGGTCTCGATGCTGCCATTGATAAAATGAAATGGACTCACAGAACTCGTGTTCTTCTCCATTTAGGGGATGCACCACCACATGGTCGCCGTTTTACAAATAAATATGATGCCTATCCAGATGGTGACCCAAATGGCTTAACCGCAGAAAGTGTGTTAGAAAAAATTCAATCAGAAGAAATTCTTTATTATTTTGGGAAGATTACAAGTCTAACCGATAAAATGATCGATGTATTCCGCGATATAATTGGTGAATTCTTGATATTTGATCTCAATGTGGATGGTGAGGATCCAAAGGCATTAACTACAAAACTTTTTGAGGCTGTCTGTTCATCTATAACCTCCTCCGTAATATTGACAAGTTCCGAAGCGGAAAATATTTACAGACGCAAGCGGAAGAATCTTGAAAAAGACCCACAAAAACCTGCTGAATGGGACACTCTCCCGACCGAAACTGGAAAACTTTTGCATTATCGTTTCCCAAAAACTATAGCTGATATTAAGAACCCATATTACTTTACTAAACCGAATCTCGTTATTAAGAAATTTACTTATAAACGCGCTCCGAAACCATTCTCTTCGGGTTCTGAACGATACGCTTATTTTGCTCTCAATCTTACTCGTGAGCCGGCTGAGGAAATTATTATAAAAGAATGCGTTGAAATTGGAAAAAAAGCAAACTCTCTTGAACGATATCTTGAGATGATAGAAACTTCAACCATTGCCTATTTTCTCTCAAAGCAATTCAACGCAGCCGCTAAACTACTTGATATCAAGAAGAAGGTGAATTTCCTCAAACCGCAAGCTTTGCGTCATAAGGACGGCGGTGAAGTTAAAGTTAAAGACGGCGGTGAAGTTAAAGTTAAAGACGGCGGTGAAGTTAAAGTTAAAGACGGCGGCGAAGTTAAAGACGGTGGTGAAGTTAAAGACGGTGGTGAAGTTAAAGACGGCGGTGAAGTTAAAGACAGCGAAGGTGACAAAGAAGGTTCCAATATTCAATGCTACACTATAGAACCGATGTTTCATGAAACATTTAAACGGTTTAACATAAATAATGGAATTATTAAAGAATACCATTCCACTCTTGAGGCATTCGCTCATTTTACATACGAACAAACAAAAGGTTATTTAGTGGTTTATGACCTACAAGGAATTGAGATTGACGGTCAGTTCTTGCTAACAGACCCAGCAATACATTGTGAAGATAAATTAAGGTTTGGAAAAACAAATCTTGGAGAAAGAGGTATCAAGGAGTGTTTCTTAGCAAATCACAAGTGTGGCAACGTGTGTGAAAAGTTGGGTTTGGCTAAGATAGGTGACTGAAGCTAGATTCGGCATGTTGTATTTTTATATATTTTAAATCACATGTACAGTATTTATGTGTTTTACTAAGGGACGTGAATATTACTATTATGATTATTAAATTTTTAACTTTGGTTTAAAACATGCATTAATCAAGAAATTAAAAAAAAAGGTCTAGGATATAATATCCTGTACAGTGCTAAGATAATAGTATATAGTTATGTATAAAATTTCTATAGTAAAAAATTTTTTGAATCTATTTATATACGTAATTTAAAAAGAAAATAATGCTGGGCAAAGTTTAACATATAGCAGTAATTCAACCCACTCGATAGTTAATAGCTAACACAAACTATTGTATTAAAAAAAAATTCACAATAAGGTCTGCTAAACTAGCATTTCATTCTTCCGCCATACATTTTAAATTGAATTAATTTGAAGGGAAAAAATTTCTTTAGCCAGTTAAAGTTTTTTTTTTAATCGGTTAAAAAATGACAATTATTCGATAAGAATTAAGATTTTCAACTAGTTCTTTTATTTTCTCTTTATGAAAAGACACATAAAAGTCTACATGAGAAATATTGAAAATACAAAAAATTGTACTTATTTATTTATTAATTTGTGATATTATTAAAACTAATCTACAGTCAATCTTAATCAAAAACAGTAGATTTTGTCCTTCTGCATGTTTACCGTTTAACAAATCTACACGTACACGTAATATCGTGAAAATATATACGTCATTATCAATATCGATACATTTACCCTAGCAAATTGTTCAAATGAAATTGATTTTATATATGAAATTATTATGAAACCGTTTTATCTGGAGTTTCGACGAATTGCATGGACCATTAAAAAAAAATTGATATTTATAGCATTGATTTTATTACGAGATGATTAACTTGACCTCTTTATTATAAATGTATCGGAAATTTATTAATTCGAGCCGAAATTCTCCTAAATAAAATTTTTTGTCAATTCCGCCCAAATGAATACATTAAATGTACATTTCCTTGCAGAATATAGGTTTACAATCAAATGAAATATTTTATTGTACAAAAATGCACAAAATATTAAAATTAGTTTAGGAAATAAAACAATCATCTTGTTGGTTTTAACCAATTAATATTGTAAAGCCCCAAATTCTTTTTAACATTAATCCATTTTAAGATAAATTTGATAAAAAAAAGGCAAGTTAATGAATATCATTTCGTTGTGCAAAAAAACAAAGAGAGATATAACATTTAGGTGTTATTGTTTCTCGAATTGGTATAAGTATATGCGCACAACGCCATAAATAAGATCCAATCCTCACAGGAAATTTGTTTCACATAAAATTGTACACACTCAATATGACAGTATGTCTGTCATAAATAGTTTTCTTAATTCCTTATATTCCCAATTATCCTCTTCTAATATTATTACTTCTAACGAAATGGATAAAACTGACTCAGATACTGAGCTCGATATCGGAAAACGTTGCCTACATAATCGAACTACCAGCTCTTTAGATTCTTCTGACAAAAGTTACTCTCTTTGTGGGATTTCTGTAACAGAAACTGGCACCATTTCTGAGACACTCATATCCGAATTGGGTACTGAGAAACTCGCAAAAGGGTGTCTTGAGCGCTATGCGGATGAGGCTGGTGACAGTCGTTATGCGAGCAAAAATATTTCTATCACCGACTCTGTTGACTCCGTTAACTCTGATGATTCATTAGAAGCTGAGACGATAATTTTACGAGAGGAAATTATATTCAAAGCAATTCAAAATATAAAGAACTCGATGCAAGTCGACCTATGCTTCGTGTTGGATTGCACGGGTTCCATGACAAAATATATCAATGCTGCAAAGAACTGTATCCTACAGGTGGTCCGTCATATGGAAAATACAAACCCTAACATCAAACTCTGGGTCGGATTCTGCGGCTATCGTGATCATTGTGACAACTCTGATCGCATACAAATTTTAGACTTCACTGACTCATACTCAAAATTCAAAAGCTATATCTCAGACGAGGTAAAAGCTAAAGGTGGTGGTGATGCTCCCGAAGACGTCTTAGGTGGTCTTGATGCTGCTACAAATAAGATGAAATGGTCTCACAGAACACGCATTCTTCTTCATTTGGGCGACGCTCCGCCGCACGGTCGCCGTTTCACCAATAAATCTGATAGCTATCCAGATGGTGACCCAAACGGTTTAACTGCAGAAGGCGTGTTAAAAAACCTTCAATCAGAAGAAATTCTTTATTATTTTGGGAAGATTACAAATCAAACCGATAAAATGATCGATGTATTCCGTGATATAATTAGAGAATTTCCGGTGTTTAATTTTGAAAGTGATTGTAAGGATCCAGAGGTATTAACTAGGAAACTCTTTGAGGCAGTCTGTTCTTCCATAACTTCCTCTGTCACATTAACTAGCATCACAGACGAAAATGTTTATGTACGCAGTCGAAGGGAACTTGAGATGGATAAAAATGTACCTGATTGGAAAATGCTTCCGGTCAATACTGGAAAACTTTTGCATTATCTTCCTCCGAAAACTTTAGATGACATCAAGAATAAAAAATATTTCAAAAATAAATCGAATTTAATTCTCCGAAAATTTTCTTACAAACTCGCCCCGAAACCATTCTCTTCAGGAGCAGAACGTTACGCTTATTACGCTCTTGATGCCACACGTGAGCAGACTGAGGAAATTGTTATAAAAGAATGTATCGACCTCGGAAAAAAAGCAAATTCTCTTGAACGATACCTCGAAATGATAGAAGTTTCCACTGTCGCTCACTTCCTTTCAGCAAAATTCAACTTGGCTGCCAAACAAATTGGTATCAAGAAAAAGGTGAATTTTCTCAAATCGCAAGCTTTGCGCTATAAAGATGGTTCCGATGTTCGATGTTATGCAGTAGAACCGAAATTTCGCGATGGTTTGTTTAAACGATTTAACGTAAACAGAGGAGTAATTAAAGAATACCATTCCACCCTTGAAGCGTTCGCACATTTCACATACGAATATACAGGAGGTTATTTAGTGGTTTATGACTTACAAGGAGTAGAGCTCTCTAATAAATTTTTGCTAACAGATCCGGCAATACACTGCAAGAATCGTTTAAGATTTGGGAGAACAAATCTCGGAAAAAGAGGCATTGAAGTTTGTTTCTTAGCGAATCATAAGTGTGGCAATGTGTGTGAGAAGTTGGGTTTGGCTAAGATAAGCAAATGAAGTTAGACTTTACGTTTCTGATAGTATTATTATAAATTATTTACTTATTTTTTACTTTTTATATTGCAAAAAAAAAAAAAAAAAAATTTATTATTATAATTTTATATTTAAAGTTTATTTTTTCTTTTGGCCTCAATAAGGTATTTATCATAAGTTTAGGATATGAGATATTGTTATATAAAGTGCGTTATATTGATTTTACTATCAATAAAGTATAATTTTTTGACCTTTATATAAAAAACTATAGATACTGGAAATAATTGAAAAAAAATTCCAAGTCTTATAATCATCCAATTCATTATTATTCGCAACTTAATATCTTCAGAGGTTTGCTGTGGCACAGAGTTGATCTATAAAGCTCGTATTAAACGAGACAAAACGTATTTTCTGATAATACCTGAAAAGAACAAGAAAGATTTATCTTTTTAAAGTAAATTAATCACTCACCAGATATTTCTTTTAAGAAATTTCAAAATCTAATATGATGAGTAAAAAGAAAATAAGTTTACAAAAAATCATTTGAGCTATTATGATACTATTCATAATAATTACGTGAAATCACGTCAATGAATTAATGGTTTTTTTTAAATATATAATTTCCCTTCACATAATTTTATTATAAACCTGAATTGAGTTCGTGAAGGTCTCAATATATGCTATAAGAAAATTTTGCTCGAAAATAAAACATTAGTTTTGCGACCAGTTGCGTCGAATATTAAGAAAGGACGACTTGATGATGAACACAAAATAGGAGTATTTATAGACTTTATATAAATCGGGAAAGATCTAACCGCATATATTATGAGTATAAAAAACTATTTTTATCTCTATCGCGACTACATTAAAAGGCTTAAATCAAATATATTTTAAGCATATATTGCATCAAATTCTATCACCATATGAAAAAATATGTTGATTTTGCATTAATGATCGTAATTTATGTTAACTTTCAATCACTTTATTATTTTCACTCTAAAAGAAGAATTTAAAAGTAACCAGTATTTAAACAGAACAGGTAATAAATATAAGTATGAATGCTGTTGAATCAACAATCGAAAGACAGCTAAACTATGTTTAAATAATATAATTGATTACGTACGTAAAATAACACTATTATTTCCGTGATATATGAATTACAGCTTTTATTTAGGTTAATCATTTCTATTCATTGGCTTCAAAGCATTCATTATGTGAATAATGGGAAGACCTATACTCTCTAATATAGCAGTTTATTTGTAAAATGGGAAATGGTCGGAAAAACAATTTTTTCTCACGATGGTTGTGGTATTGATTAAATCAAATATAGTAATTTAACAATTTTTAATCAAATTAATAATGATGTTCCTCGTTTTCTAAAAAAAGATAAGATTCCGTAGCACGTTTAATAAGGGGTATTTTTAGAAATCACAAAACTGTTGAAGACGTAAATGTAAACATAAAGACATTTTCTTAAATTCTATATAAAATCATAAATTTTCCTTTTCAAAAAAAAAAAAAAAAAAAAAAAAAAGAAAGATTTTTTTTTTTTCGAGTTATGAATTTCTTTCGATCGTAAGAAAAATATATATATAAATAAATAAATAAATATATACATATATATAAATATGCCTTCTTATTGTCTTTTGTTCAAGACCGCTCGTGACCTTCTTATTAATAGACCGATCAATAAAAAAAAACGGAGAAAGACAACAATTTCTGATATTCCGACTGAATGCATGCAACAAATTTTTTATTATATTCAATTACAGGAAGAAGGAATTTATTCCGCTCTTTTAGTTAATAGATATTGGTGCAGAAATATAATACCTCTTCTTTGGGAACATCCGTTTAAACGTTTTTCCAAAGAGTATTATTCTCAGCCTAATAAAAGTTCTAAAAATCATATTCTTCGAATTTATCAACAATCGAATAATAAATTATTATCCACGTTATTTTCTTGTTTATCTGAAAAAGATAATTTATTATTGGCTTCTCAATTATCTAAATATCGTATTAAGATTCCTCAATTTCAACAAGCTTTATTTAATTATTCTCGTTATCTACAAGAATTTTCTTATAGTGATTTAGAATTAGTCATTTTTTCTTTCCTTCAACGTTGGTATACAAATGGTTTATCTCATGATTCTTTTTACCCTCAGATTCATTTGATTTCTACTACTTTATGTAAATTATTTTTTCAAAAATCTAATTTAAATTCTTTATACTTTGAAAAGAATTTTCCAGAACTAGATATTCCTAATTTCACTGAAATTGAAAACAAACGTCCCGTTTTCTCTCAAATTACTCGATTTTCTTTTACTTATTCTGATCCTATTACGCAAAATGTTTTGAAATTTTTAAAAATTGTTTCAAATTTTTGCACTCACATTAATTTTCTTGAATTTAAATTAAAATCTTCTGATTATAATATCGAAGTTAGAAGAGTTATTGTCGATATTATTAAATCACAAAATTATTTAAAACATTTTTCTATTGAACATATCAACAAAGATGGGATAGAACCAATCATTCTCTCATTAAAGAATCATACTATGAATTTGGTTTCTTTACGTCTATCTCATGTTCAATTTACGGAATCTAGTATAAGTTTAATTTCACAATTTAATAATTTAAATTCACTTATATTGGATAATTGTGAAGGTCTTTCTAATGAAATTCTTTATTCTCATTTCCTTCTTAGTAAATTAGTTATTAATTCACGTCAGCAAGATATTACTTTACCTTTGTTAAAAAAATTTGGTAAAAATTTAAAATCTCTTGGTCTCAGTATTTACGATTTAGAAATTGCTGATAAATTATTAAGTTTTTGTCCTCAAGTTAACGAAATCTATTTAAATATTTGTGTTGAAAAGACTGAAAAATATTGTGATTATGGAGAATTAAAAAAAATGGAAGAATCCTGGAAAAATGCTATTAAATCTGCTTACTCTCATAGAAAAATTTCAGTTCTTTGAATATATATATATATATAACAAAGACTCCTTTGATCTTTTTTCAAAGAAAAAATACGACGAATAACAATAGAGTTATAAATGTATATTCGTACCTTTACTCGAATAACTTTTTTTTTTTACAACGAACGATGAATTATTTCGAATTCACATTTTACGACGGGAAAATCTGAAAACATTTCATTGGCAAAATCATTAACTTTAAAGTCGACAAACATTTTAAAAATCTTTATATATGTTGAAGCAAAAAATTAAAATTTTTTGCTGAATTAATTGTTTTATAATTACTTTATGATAATTTTACATACAAATAAAAATAAGCTTAGTTTAGATAATAATAATATTAGTTTGATGTAAATAATTAATAAATTATGCAAACCGTACGAGTTCATTTATGTTATAAATTAAATCAATTAAATCGTTTATTTAGTGTACTATAACTATAGTTCCCATTTGATGAATAACGGAACGTATAATAAAATTGTTGAGTAGGCTAATTTCAAATTCCGATTTAGACACAGAAGCTATAAGAATACATTGATAATATCCAATAAATACTCATTCATTCATTGATTAAATTGCATTCTTTTTTAACATTCAAATATTCAGATAATTTGACGAACTTTGTAGTGGTATTTTTCTTCCATGATGCCAATAAGCGTAAGAAAATTACTAAATATTTCATAATTTAATTGCGTTGTCCGGAGGTTTCGTTTATGGGCGAGGAAACGAGCGGGTAGTATTGCGCATTTCAAGCCACATTTCTGCGTCACGGTGTATTTTCTGAACGTTCACACTGTCTCCATCATAATAAATATTTTTTTTTTAAACCTTCACTGTTAATTAACCTTTCATTATTGACCATAATTCTACAAGCACCATGAACCACACGAACGAAACTTAACTCACAAGCTTTAGGAAATAATTCACTTCCGTATGTATTCTCAATAAACCGAAATTTAGAGGAGTTGCGGTCCATGGCCAAACCAAAAAATTCTACTTTACGTAGAAACATTCAAAAACCGAAATTTAGAGGAGTTGCGGTCCATGGCCAGAACAAAAAATTCTACTTTACGTAGAAATATTCAAAATGTTGATACCAACTCAGGCGGCGTGTCGATGAGTTTCCAGCTTCAAGAAACGATTAGGCATCGCTTATAATATAATGGATGGACATCAAATATCTATATTAAAGAGAGCGCATTTTATAAAAAAAAAAAAAAAAAGTATTTTATTATTATTAATATATATATATATAAAAAAAACACTTATTTAATGATATCTAAAATTCCTTACAATATCTATTATTATTATTATTAGATGGTTTAGATGTAGTAGATTTTGTAGTAATAATACGTTTTATATTTAAATTTTTTATGAAAACCTTTTTAGAATGAGTATTGAATTTTTCTCTCCATTCCATTAAATCATTATTCATAATAAATAATACAATAATATTAGGACAATAATTTAATATAATATCAATATTTTCCTTATTACAAACCAAATCAATTCCTAATTGAATTAATGAAGAACCAGATTGTTTAAGTAATTGTAATAATAAATTTCTTGTCTCAACATCATTATCATTTTCACTAAAAATTTGTAATTTTCTTAAATTAAAATTTCTAAAATCATTAGTAATATCCATATTATTAAAACCATTACAATTAAATAAATAAAGATTTTTTAAATTAATTAAATTTGGTAAAATACTTAAAGAAAGTTTTGTAAAATGAATATTTTGTAATTTTAAAGAAAATAAAGTAGATTTATGATGAGAAAATAAAGATAAAAATATTGATTCAGAAAAATTATCTTTTAAATTTGAAATATTAAATTCAAATAATTGTTTTTGTGATTTTATAATATTTGATATAGATTGAATCAAATCATTATTATAATCTTTTGAATCAATTTTAAAATCTAAATGATTGATTTTTGTAGAATAAATTGAAATAGAATTTAATAAAGTTAAAATATTATTTGATCTAATTTTAATATCTTTAAATTGAAATTTTGTTATATTTGATAATACTGGTTTAATAGTAATATTATTATATCTTTTAATATTTGGTATATCCATAATACTATCGTTGCATGTTGAAGAAGAATTAAATAAAAGAAATTTTAATTGAGTGGAATTTTGTAAAAATAATTTACATAATGCTGAAGCTATTGAAAATGCTTGATATTTTTCTTGTTGAAAATTGGAATTTTTAGAATTTGAATTTTTTAAATTTATCATAAATGATGTATAAATAGTATTCTCTAAATCACTATATGATAATTCTTTTAAATAATTAGGATAATTATATAATGTTTTAAATGAATTAGGAATTTCCATATCAAATGGATGTAATGAAGGATTTAATTTAGAAAATAATAAATAATATTCATCATTATCAAGACAAGAAATATAAGTTCTTAATAAATTATAACAAATTCTTGGATCTCTTGATGGTGTATGTCGTAATATTGAAGGAGGAAATAAATCTCTAAATGGATTATTCCATAATATTGGTATCACATTTTCACACCAATATTTATTTACTAAAAGTAATTTAAAAAGGTTTTTCTTATTTGAAATTTGTATCGTATATTTAAATATTTTTTGCATACAATCTGAAGGTAACACTATCTGTCTATCATGTAACTTTTCATTTAATTTTGATTCTTTAGTTTTATGTTTGTAAAAATTTATTATTACTTTTATAATAAAACAAATTGTTGGCATTATCAAAAAAATTATTATTAAAATTAATTAGCATTTAGAAAGTAAAAAAAAAAATAGAGAGAAAGAGAGAGAAAGAGAGAATTTAAAAAAGATTCGAAAGCCACGAGATAAATTTTGTGAGATTCTAAGGGCTTATTTATTTGTTTATTAGTTATCCAATTTTGGACAGCTTATTGATTTTCATTAATTTGGCGTCTGGATTGTCACCGTATTATCTTCCAAAATTAGATCTCCTTCCCCCTCAATTCTTCGAACTCTGAATCAAAAAAATTCAAGCCAATAAAATGGTTAAAATAGGGTCGGGAAAAAATTATTTTATTTAAATTCAGGTAACACACTCTTGTGTCAACAAAAGAAAAAAAAATGCACAAATCATAAATTCTCAAGAATTATTTATTTCCGGTTTGTTTAACAGAATTTTCCCCATGCATTTTTTTAATAATTTTTGTGATTCAATTTGTGTAAGGATTTAAGGGATCTTATTTGATAAGTCCAATTTTGGATTAGTAGGTTAAAGTAAGTACAATGATTAAATTGGCAAGTCTTATATCATTATAAAAATAACATAATATCTTTGAAACTTGGAAAACATATCGGCCGATTGTTAATTAGCGAACCCAAAATTCCAAAGTACAGTATTTATTATTTGACCAATGATATTTTTAACAACAATATTAATTGATTCGTGCAAAAAATGGGAATGTGAAATTATGTCGAATAAAGGTAATAAAAATCTTGAAAGAAAGTTGGAAATATTTATTTATTTTTAGATAAATATTTTGAATTCATATAAATTCATATAATGAAAATATTACCTAAGGACAGAAAATAAAGAGATCTACATTACATATTTTGACAGTGATTCACTAACCCCTCGGATCATGAATTAATATGGTTATCAGGATAAACTGTAACAAACTTATTATTATTTTAATCGCCCGAATCTTTTTATTATACTGGAAATCTATTACGAAATCTGTAAGGAAGATGGTGATATACATGAGGACAGATTGAAAGTTTAAAATATAAAATGTTAACGATTAATAAGATTCATCGTGTAACCATTATGTAAAATAATAAATAACCATTGGTATAATAGCATACACAAATATATTAATTGGTATTGATTCCCGATCGACAAATCGAAACTATAAATTTCGTAAAAAAAAAAAAAAATTTTTTATAACATCTTAAAATCTTTTTGTAAGTGAACCGCACTTGCACAAAAGTTTTTAATTTCTTCTTTTCTTTTCTTTCTTTTTTGAATTGGCTTTTTTTATTTATCTTTTTTTTTTATTTATAACTTTTTATTCCGTAAATTAACGTAAAAATATGATACATATATCATAAAGTTATAATCTATTACAATAAGAAATTCAGCCCACTTTTTTATTATAAACGCGAGAAAAAGAGAAAAGTTGAAGGTAATTAATTTAATAAGTTAACATTTTAAAGAACTTGTTTGATTTTTTTCGAAAAATTATTTATAATTAATATAAGAGTAAATTATTATAATGTCTTCTAAAAAATGGGAGTAAATTAATTAATTAATTCTTAAAATTATTTTTAGTTATTTTGTATAATGGCGTCAAAATTGAACGCGGATTGTTTGACGGAAATATTTGAAATTTTGGAATCAGATCAAGTAACGACATCAAGATCATGTACTTTACATTCTTGTATTTTAGTTAATCGACAATGGTGTTCAATAGCGATAAAGATATTATGGAAGAATCCATGGAATTATAGAAAAAATCTTGAATGTGTTGCTCATACAATTATCAACACATTTATTTCAACATTTTCTAAAGAATCAAAAGAAAAATTAAAAGAAAATAAAATTATTATTATACCTAACGAAATATTAATGAGAGAAACAATTTTTAATTATGCAAAATATTTAAAAAATTTAAATTTATTTCATTTAGAAATAACATTAGAATCATGGTTTCATTATTTATTATCATCTCAACGACAACTACAACGACAACAACATCAACAACATCAACAAATGGATGATGATGTAACAAAAATTTCCTTGAGAAATTATAAATTTATTTTTGAAGAATTATTAATCAATTTTTTTAATCAATCAACTAATATATTAAATTTGAATGTTTCAGCTTGTCGGGATAGTAGCATTTCTTCTTTAACAAATTCTATTGAACAATCAACACGAGCGATGGATTGTTTGGCACATTTAAGATATTTTAAATGTAGTGGAACGATGCCAAAATTATATTCACTACTTTCTAATATAAGTCCAAACCTTATAAGAATACATATAGAACGTTATATGATCACAGAAGAATTGGCGAATTTAATTAATGTACAAAAAAATTTAAAAGAAATTGGATTTCACAAACATCCAAGTTTAAGACATCCACCATTATCATTAACAAATAATATTATAGGTACATCATTAATTAATCAATCTTCTTCAATTGAAACGTTAATAATTAAAGGAATTTATTTTCAATCAAAGAATTTATCATATTTTGAAAATTTAAAAGAATTAAATATTAGAATATGTGGTGGAATGAGATATACTAGGGAAGAATTATTACCTTTAGCTCTTGTTTCTTTAAATCATTTACAAACATTCTTTTGGTATTCAACACATTATATTTATTTAGATTTATTTCCAAATTTTTTTAGAAATAACGGAAAAAATTTAAGATTTATTACTATTAAAGGATTCATGATTTCTGATCCAGAGAATGCCGGAATATTAATTAATAGTATAGCAAATCATTGTATAAATTTAAGATCATTCTCGGGACCGATCTTGAGAGAAAATATTTTAGAATTAACAAAAATGATAGAAAATTGTAAAGAATTACAAAGTTTAACTTTACATCCATCAAGAAAAAAATGTTATGGACCACAAAAGAAAGAATGTTTTGATGAATTAATGAATGTATTAATTAATCAACAAAAAAATATTAGATTATTTGAATTAACAATAGTTTATAGTTGGAAATTTAGTTTTCTTCAATTTGAAAGGTTGATGAAAAAATTTGAAGAAATGCAAAAAAAGAAATTTAAATTTTCTTTTGATCCAAATATTTTAAAGGATCAAAATTTTAAATATATTGCAAATAAATTTATAGATTTAGGTGTATTAAAAGAAATCATTGATTTTGAATTTGGTCAATAAAAAAAAAAAAAAAAAAAATTTTATTATTTATTCTTTATTAAATTTAATAAATTTAAGAATATTATTATTTTGATATTCAATACAAATTTCTTCAGTTAAAACTATAATAGAAGGATTACAACAAAATTCAATAGGAATTTCTAATTTTTTCCTACTAAACAAAAAATTTTTAAAAGGTTCTAAAGAGATTGTCCACGTATCAACCAATCTTAATTCTTTTAAAGATGTTGGAGAAACGAAAGTTATTACATCTAATAAATCATCAAAATATATTTGTTTTGGTACATCCCATAAACTTTCACGATATTCTCTAGTAGGACAAAGACGTAAAGTTTTTAAATTTTTACAAAATTCCAATAATTTTCTAAATTCAAAAATATTATCTTCCATTATAGGACCTTCATAATATTGTAAATTAAAACAAGTAATTGCTATTGAATTTAATAATAATCCCGAATTATTTATATCTATAAATAATCTCGCTCCAATAGTAATTTTATTAAGATTTTGTCCATTTAATAATAAAAATTTTGAAAAAATTTCCAAATAAATTGAATGTTTACATTTCCAATAAAATATTTCCAATTTTTTTAATGAAGCATTTAATAAAGGTTCTAATTGTTCCCTTGAATAAATTCCACTACCATTAGCTTTAACTTTTAATTCTCTTAAATTTTCAAATTTTGGTAATAATTGCATAGTAAAATATGTAGCTTTAAATTCTAAATAAGTTGTGGATGGTGATTTTTTTAAATTTAAAGAACAAATTTCATTTTCTTTAGAATTTAATGATGGTGGATTATTATTTAATTTCATACCAAAATGTTTTTCAATAATAATTTCTTTAAGATCTTTTTGAGAATTAATTAATAAAATTAAATCTTTTGAAATTTCTACTTGTCCAACATGTAATCTTTTAATATTTTGACATATTTTTGAAATTGCTGGATATAATTTTACTTCAATTGATATAGTTTTATAACATTGAAATTTTGTTATCATTGAAAGACATTTTTTTGCTTGAGGAATATTTTCAATAGTATCAGTTAAAAGATCATAATTACCATAAGTTGATGTAGCATTTAATGTATATAAATTAGGTGATTGTGTAAATATAAATTTAAAAAATTCTTTAATTAATAATTTTAATTTATATTCTGATAATTTATTATATTCTGATATTGATTTATTATTAAATGTTTCAATAAACCAATAACGTATTGATGATTCCAAATGATAAATTTGTAAATTTCTTAATAATGATATATAATTAAAAATATGTGGTTTATTACTATTAGATTCGATTGATGATAATTCGAACCCATTTTCTAATAAGATTTCTTTGGATTCTTTTGGAAATGCTGAAATATAAGTTTTAATTAAAGAAACTTGAGAAGAAATTTTTTCTCCATTTCGCCATGGATTTTTCCATAATTTTGGTATAGCGCATTGACACCAAAGTTTATTCACAAGAATACAAGAATGTAACGATTTATGATCATTCTCTAATATTTCGAAGATTTTAATTAAACAATCAATATTCAATTCAGTAATCATAATTTTGAAAATTAGAGGGGAAGGAAAACAAAAAAAAAAAAAGGAAAGAAAAAAAAAAAGAGGAGAATAAAAGAAAAGATCAACCTAAAAATCTCCGGATAAATTTATCAATAAATGTTTATCCAATCACCATTCTTACTCTAACGTTAAATGGGGGAAAATGGAAAAACTTGTACTATATAATTTAATTTTGGCCACAATTATGAATTATGATAATTCTGCTTTAGAGCCGGCAAAGAATTATGTATCTTTACTAGATCATAATAGGTTAGAAGAGTTACACGACTTTTTTTCCTCATATGAGAAAAAATTTTTTTTTTTTTTCTTGATTAAAAAACTCTCTAATTTAAAATTTTTTTTCAAAAATTAAATTTTTTTTTAAAAAAAAAAAATAAAATAAAATAATTAATTAATTTTATTAATAATGTTTAAACAAATATTTAATCAATCTAATCAGATCATTTTATCTAATTTATCTTCAAATTTTAAGTTTAAAAAACGAATTTCAACTAATTATTTATTCAAAAATTCTTCGTTTAATTACGTTACTACTAGAAACTTTACTGATAAAAATATTATTTATAATCAGAATCTTTATTTATTTTCTAAATTACAAATAAATGGTAACGGTCTTTCACGAAAGAATACAAAAGGAATTCGTTTTCAAAGTACGACCGTTAATCAACAACCACAATCATTAGAAACAAATGCATTAGGAATGATACTAGATCAAAATAATGAATCATTATTATTAAAAGATCAAGATATGAATAATGATAATGTATTGGATTCAAATAGTAAAATATTTGAGAAATCGAATTTTATCGCTAACGAATTATCTAAAAATGAAAAGGAAATGTCGGATGAAATGAATCTGATGGAGAAAGATAATTTGAATACTTTGGATAAGAATCAACAAATTTTAATAAAATCTATGTCATTTGCTAATGAGGAAACATCTCTAGAGACATTAAATTATGACAATGAAATAAGAGATGCCCCACTAAAAACTGATGTTTTAATTTCACAAGTTCCAGAACCCTTTTCTGATAAGGAAGCATCTTTTGATAGTAGTGGTTCATTAGAAAAAAACAAGGACGCAAAAAAAGATGTAGAAATTGATATTTCAACTTCAAATATCAAAGAACAAGTACATCATCCAATTATTCAACTTGAAGGAAGGAACATTGATGATTTATGGAATGATTATAAAAATCTCACTCAAGAACAATTTAAGACTTTGACAGTAAAAGATTTCAATCTTATTATTGAAACGTTCAGAAAATTCTTAAAAGATTCTGATTTTTCTGATAAGTCTGATAAATCTTTAGTTTATAACAAAATCATATCAATATTTGAAGATCTTGAAGGGAAAGCAAAGTTGACACCTGATGTTTCCACTTACAACATATTTATGTCCACGGCTTTAAATTTGGGTGATTTATCAAATTTACGTAATTTATTCAAAGTTATGAAGAGTCGAGGAATTCAACCAAATACAGTTTCATATAATATCATGATGTCAGGATTCGCTAAATTAGGTTCACGTCAAAATATATACTCGTTACATAAAGAAATGATTAATTTGGGAATCAAAAGTAGTATAGTTACTTACACGATACTACTTGCTGCACGCGCTAAGGATAAACACTTTTTAGACGCTTTAAGATATTATAGAATGATGTTAGAAGAAGATATAAAACCGGATGTTCAGATTTATAATGTATTATTAAATGTTTTAATGTATGATTCTGATGGGCATCAAATTATTAAAATTTATGAAGAAATGAAATCAAGAGGAATCAAACCAACAGTCTTAACATATAATAGTCTTATTAGAGCAATGATTTTACGTGATGAAAAGGAACGCGCGAAGGAATTTTTTCGTGAGATGGAATCTGAAGGAATCAAACCCAATGTTTTAATCCTTGATTCTTTGGGGATCACCGGATTAGACGCTATTCAAAAATTACAAGATTCGAACGGTGTAAATTTAAATTTATTAGATTATAATACACTTTTACGTGGATGTTTGAAAAAATCTGAATATGATGACGCGATCAAAATTTTTAATATTATGCAAGAAAATGAAGTTTATCCAAGTCTTGCAACTTATACTATTCTAACAGGTGCCTATTTACAAAATAATGAAATCGAAAAGGCTATAGAATTATTTAACAGGATGAAAAATGATAATGTATCTCCGGATTCACAAATTTATACTTTTATGATCGATTCTCTATTGATACATAAAAATATTGATGAAACGTACAAATTATTATCAGAAATAACAAATTCGGAAAATGAAATAAAGTTTAAAAAGTCAGAAGTTATTCGACTTCTTGATTCGGCTTCAAAATTAGAAGATAGTAAAGTGATTGAAGAACTTTTTCATACGATATCCAAAACTGAATCTCAATTATCAAATGTAGCCTTCGAAAAAATTCTTTGGCGCGTAGCACAAGATGAAAATTATGAAGAAAAAATCGATTATTATTTAAATTATATGGAAAAATGTAATATTCCAACTCGAAATACAATTTATGGATCAATCATTGAAGGATTTATTCAAAAGGATGATGATAAAAATTCTATATACTGGTATAAACGTATGATTGATGATGGATTCATTCCAATAGGAAAAACCATTTTCAAGATGGTACAATTACTTTCTAAAAAGAGTAAAATTAATAATGTATTGAAATATTGGAATGATTTTTATAATTATGGAATTAAACCTGATAAAGAAGATTTTAATTTTATAATCGAATACTGTTGTAAATCGGGAAGAGAATATATAGTATCGGAAATTTTTTCTCAATGTAGAGAGATGGGATTTAATCCTACAAGTGGAAATCTTTTAAAGATTATGCAATTTTATTTTAAAAAGTCCAAAGTAATGAAAGTAATAGAATTTTGGGACCTCTTTTATGTTTTAAGAATTCATCCCAGATTGGACGTCATTAATTTTATGGTGGACTTTTGTTGTACGTTAAAAGATAAGAAGCTTGTATCACAAATTCTTTCTCAGTGTTACGATACGGGATATGATGCTTATTCACTTTATAGATTAAAGAAATCTAACAAAGGGACCGATGAGATTAATGCTTTGTTAAATAAATTAGAAAACACGAATAATGATTCTAGTGAGAAAAATTTATATGAGAAAAATTTAGAAGTAATTGAGCATTGGATAAATTCTCGAGAGAAGAAATCTAATTTATTTTCAAATTTTAATAAAAATTTAAATTTATCCGAAATTCAGACGTTAAGGAGAGTATTAAATATAGAAGAGCGAGCTATAAGAAAACGAGAAAAATTAACTGATTTCTTACAAAAAAATAAAAGCTTATTAGATCCAGGTGCTCAAAAAAGTTTAAAATCTTGGACTCCATATAAAAAATACGTTAAAAATACCAATAATTTGAAAGATGATGTTAATTCAAATATTGAAGAAAATGTAAAGAATGTTGATTCAACCAATATATTATCAGAAAATGATGAATTATTAGTTGATTCAATAATTGATGCAACTTTTAATAGTGTGATCGAACAAAATGTAACGGAATAAATCAAAGGAATAAGTTTTTAAGGGAAAGGGAATTTTCTTCTTTTTGATATTTACTGTATATTCAATGTATAGAATAACTTTTTTTTTTTCAAATACAAATAAAAATTTTTTTACGAGAAACTCGGGTAATAATTTTTATCGGTTCATTAAGTATTTAATTTACAAAATTTTTACATAATCCTCCAACGACTACATCGATAACACCGCTAATCTATCGAAAGTACAATGAAGACTATTTCACAACAATTTCACGACTATTTCACGACTATTTCAACTATTTCATGACTATTTCACAACTATTTCACGACTATTTCACGACTATTTCACGACTATTTCAACTATTTCACGGCTATTTCACAACTATTTCAAGGACGAAATTAATAATAAGCATTTAGATGTCACGGAATGTGATACTTTGAACCACTATATAATACGTGATAATGAAGTTTATAGTTTATTTTATTTTTTCTTTGTTACTTTAAAAAGTTAAGGAAATATTCTTTGATGTAAAATAGACTAAATCTTGGTTAAGTATTAATTTCAAAAAAGAATGTATCAATTTGAATTTTTACTGTTTTTTAAAAAAAAATAGCTTCTTTTAACTTCGAAAGCTTTTTTTATTAGACTTTTTTAGGGTTGTCAAAGACGGATACCCTTATCTCGTTCATTTTTGATCTTAAGATCCAAATATTTGATTGTTCTCCTATTGCCTTGTTCAACATCGAATCAATCGATGTTGAAGTTCTGCTAGTTATTTTAATAATGTTGTAATTAAACTAATGAAAGTTCTTATTTACATATTTAATAAAATGAAAATGTGAATTTATAAAATTTATAATTTAGAAAGAGATGTGAATATTAATATAAAAATAATACAATGAAAATTGTTACATAATATACTAAACAACCATTAATTTAATCTGCTTATCTCGGACAAGCCTAACTTTCTGCAAATACTGTCACACTTATGGTTCGCTAAGAAACATTCCTCGATACCCCTCTTTCCAAGATTTGTTCTCCCAAATCTTAAACGATCCTTACAATGTATTGCCGGATCTGTTAACAAGAACTCATCGGTGAGTTCTACTCCTTGTAAATCATAAACCACCAGATAACCATTTGTGTACTCATATGTAAAATGTGCGAAGGCTTCAAGGATAGAATGATATTCTTTAATAACTCCATTATTCACATTAAATCGTTTAAATTCGGCATCACAAAATTTCGGTTCTATAGTATAATATCGAGTAGAGAAACCAGCGGTACGGCGCATGATTTGTACTTTAAGGAAATTCACCTCCTTATTAATACCAACTCTTGCGGTAGCAGAATTGAATTCCTTTGATAGGAAATAGGAAATGGTAGAAGATTCTATAGCTTCGAGGCATCGTTCAAAGGAATTTGCTTTTTCGATACGTTCTTTAATAACAATTTTCTCAATTAACTCCTGAGTTACATCGAGAGCAAAATAAGCGTATCGTTCTGCGCCTGATGAAAAAGGTTTCGGGGCATGTTTGTAAGAGAATTTTCGGAGAATGAGATTTGATCTCCGTTTAAAATATCTTGGATCCTTAATATCGGTCAAGGTTCCTGGGAGACGATAATACAAAAGTTCACCATTTTTGACAGGAAGCATGTTCCAGTCAGGCTCACGTGAATCTTTTTCAAGCATCTTTCGCTGACGAGTTTTTTCCATGGTACTAGTTATTGTGACGGTGGTAGTGATGGATGAACAGATAGATTCAAAAACTTTTGCAACTAATTCTTCTGGGTCAAGTCCTTCTGATGTGAGATCAAACACTAAAAATTTGCCCATTATACCACGAAACACACGAACCATTTCATCGGTTTTATTAGTAATCTTCCCGAAATAATAATGAATTCCTGACGATCTAATTCCACTTATAACACTTTCTGCGGTTAAACCATTCGGGTCACCTTTCGGATAATCATCCTTTAAACGAGTGAAACGACGACCGTGTGGTGGACAGTCACCCAAATGAAAAAGAATACGAGTGGAATGACGCCAGCTCAAATTATTTATTGCCGCATCCAGACCACCTAAAACATCTTCTGGTGCATCACCACCACCATCTGCTATTACTTCATCTGTTAAATAACGTTTAAATTCTAAATGTGAATCAGTGAAATCAAAAATCTGTAAACGATTGGAGTCACAGTGATCACGGTAACCGCAGAAACCGATCCAAAGTTTGATATTAGGATTTGTACGTTCCATATGTTCCACCACTTGTTGAATACAATCCTTAGCAGCAGCGATATAACTTCCCATGGAACCCGTACAATCCAACACAAAGCATAAGTCAACATTAATATCGACTTTACTAATATTATTGATATCATCAAGTATTTCGGATATAATTTTCTTTTCTCCTACTTTTTCACCATTTTCTTGTTTCTGACTATCAACAAGTGTCACAGTTTCTGTTGCAACATTTTTACCACAAAACCAAGAAGTGATAGTACGAAGTTTACGTTTAGACATTATTCAGGTTATTTGTTTTAAAATTATTATTATAACTATTTAATTTTTTTTTTTTTAATTTTTTTTCTTGAAAGATGAAAGGCGGAAGGGCGGGTATGATGATAACAACTTATTAGTTTTTTTGACGGCAGATTTTAATTATTTTGTAACGTTTTACCAGATTTTAATTTCAATGAAATGATGATGCAATATTTAAATTTGGTTTATAAATAAGATATATAAATTTAACAATCATTATTATTAGACGCAGATCCACTTTTTTGCTTTTTCTAAATTTGTTAAATACGTACATAAACTAATGACGATCCCAAAAATTAAATTTTTTATGACGCTTTCAACCTTAATTAAGTTAAAAAAAGTTAAACAAACCAAAAACAAATGAAAATATATTTAAATTTGTGATACCCTTTAATATTTTTAAAAGAATTCCTTTTTTCTTTAAATTACTAAAAATAAAATAAAAATTTGAAGGCGAAAAAGAGATTATTTCCAAAAAAGGATTTTTGATACAAAAAAAATATTAACGGAATTAAAGTAAAAAAGGTCGGCCCGACATTATGTCAGATTGTCAAAGCCTCAAAGGGTTCTTGCGTTAAAAAAAAATATATATATATAATACAATAGTTATAATATAATACAGGTACAGTAAATATTGTTTGAGAAAAATAATATTATTAATGGAAATAACATGAATAACAGGAATAACAGGTTTATTGGGATAACTTTCTATATTGTTATACCGTTTCTCCGGTTGACCGAACTGAAAGAACACTTAATCTGAAAGTTTAATTGATATATTTATTTAACAATATGACGACAAATAATCCCATTATTATTATTATTATTTATTATTTATATTTAATTATGTAAAAATCCAGAAATCCATAAAAGTTTAATGCATATTATGCATAATTGTTTATTTTTATTAGTCTTCCAAACTAATAATTTCATTATAAAACCCAGATATTTACAAGAAGAGTGAGGCTTTTACTAAGTTAGGTCATTAATTTTATCATTTTTCATGGGGAAAAGAATATATTTGGTTTTAAAAACTTAATTCCGGTTCCAAAAAAAAATTTCGTATCACACTTTTTTACCTATATTAGTATTCGAAGTTTTTGGCATATGACTTATATGACCTAAACTTAATCTAGACTGGCACTATTAAAATTTTCCAATGACGGAATTATTTCGAGTTTAGGCATTAATATTATCATGATCTTATGACCAATAATAATTGATTATATGTACATATATGTATATAGCACCTGATTTTTTTTTTAAAGTTATCGAAATATTTATAAGTTTAAAAGATTCCAAGACTATAGTAGTAAGTAAGGAAGTCTATGCTAGGAAGATAATGGTTAGACATTATTGCATTGTACTTTTTGATGTAGAATCACGATCACTAAAATTTTGGTCAAAAAATGGTATTCCACTTTATAACCAGTGTTCTTTTTTATAAATTTACAAAAATAAATCTTCAATTTATCAAACAGAATGAATTAATTCGATAATATACCAATATACCACACTTTTATTTAACAACACGCATTTATAATCAGTGTCATTCCAGGCAAAAGTTATAAATTTATAAAGATGAATCTTTAGTTCATCAAACAGAATGAATTAATTCGATGACTGAGATATACCATATACCGCACTTTTATTTAACAACACTGCAACCATGACCTTTTATAACTTCTCTTTATAGCAAAGTTATAAATTTATAAAGATAAATCTTCAATTCATCAACAGAAAGAATTAATTCGATGGATGATATATCGCTTTATAATCAGTGACACAACTTTTTTTCCAGCAAAGTTATAAATTCGATTACCGATATACCGCAGCAACATGCAGATATTTTTGAAACAAGTGACGTAATGAATCAGCCACTTTCACTTTTGAAATAAGTGATGTAATCTTCCAAGCATCACAGCCACTTTTCAACGTGTAAAGATAAAAAGTACATGTAAGCAACGAATTTTTAAAGAACGGAAGAAGATGAAAAAGGTTAGGTGCTTATGATAATAACAATATCTTTATTAAATGATAAAATTTCAATTTACTTATTATACTCATATTTCAATTATATGATGCAAATTATATAAAGTATACATTTGAAATCTTTAAAGGTTGTGGAACCGGAAGGAAGTTGAGGAATTTGAACTAATCCTCATTTGAACACAATATTTCCAAACTTAAATATATCACATTTTGATGGTGATTACACTTTGAAATTACATCCGAGAACAATTTAAAAGATTTCATGGGGAATAATAGTTAAAGGGGAATACTTTAGGCATAACTATACGATATTAGATATATTAAAAAACTTACTTGGCATAAATATCGGACCCGACTAAAAAAGATCAGCGTGATCCTAGAAAATTCTATTAGATGTAGATTGATAAATTGATAAAGTAGGTATCTTTTCACGAAAAATATAATTATATTTAAATTATATTGTATTTTAATATAATTTGTTGTTATCTAAGTTAATCCATATATTTTTTAAAGTTTATAAATCAAATCATTTATAGTCTTATACGCGATTTTGTGAACTAATTATTATTTGATCTTCAAACCTTTCATGTCTTGTTGTTTCCTTAATAGTAAAAATAACGAAACCCTACTATCCTTTTTTTTACTTTTTTTATCTGCAATTAAATGTTATTAATGTAACCCGACACTTCTTTTTTTATTATACGTCTAAGACAAGAAAGATTGAACAATGATAAACCTAAGCTTGATAAGTAAAAAAAATAAAAATAAAAAAATAAATTAAACAAATAAACAGTTGAGTTTGAACATGATAAGGGGTACATATCGGATCACCTTTTCAGGGGGACCCGATAATATCTTTCACCAAAAAATGAAACCATTTAAAAAAAAGGTTTTATAATTTTGTTCTAGTTCAGTAATCAATTATAAGTTTAAAGAAAGTAAAATGGCTGAATATCAATAATATTATCTATTATCTTCATGAGTCTTTTTTTTTTTTTTTTT